GGCAAAGAGACAAAAACAATCTAATTTCAAGTACACACGAGGGTTCCCTCTAATATTTTTCCATTTGTACACAGAATAAATGTTTGTGTGCACTGAGGCATGGGCAGATGTGCACCACCATTAACAACACATGCTGCCAGCTGTGGGCATTCTGCTACTCAGTTGAGCAGAACCTGGATCTCTCCTTGGTGTGGTGCCCAAACATTCAACTTATAGGGAATACTGCTAGATACCATTAAAAACACAAACATTCACAGCCTCCAGTACTTACATGAACTTCTGTATCAGTCTCACCTTGGAACAAGGAAACACTGCAATGTCACAATCACTTTAAAGTGGCAATCATTGAATTGTTAATGGCAGCTGTAAAATGGTTATAGAAATACTTACTTGACTCACAAGGAGGTTTAATTAATGCTTGTAAAATGCTTTCTGCTCCAAAGCTGCCTCCTACATGAAATATTGTAGTATTAAAATGATTATTTATTATTATTTCTCTCTCCTAGTATTGCTCTGCATTGCTAATTCTCTGAAGGTTTCTACTGAGTTACTAGGGACAGACATAAATCTCAACGTGTGTGTTATAGTGCATCTCTATGTACACTAATTATAACTGAAATTCATTAGCATGGAAAGTCATCAGGTAGCACTCCATCTTCTTGGTCAATTTAATCTGTAATTTGAGTAACTAATTGACTCTCTGTCCTTATTCAGAGGCGGAACCTGAGCTCAGACAGTTAACAGTATCGAACGTTAGCTGGGACGGTTTCAATCTCAACTGGAAAGCAGCCAAAGGGGACTATGAAAACTTTGTCATTCAGGTGCAAGAGGCTAACAACCCCGAAGAAGTTCGGAATCTCACCGTCCCAGGCAGACTGCGCTTTGTGAATGTTACTGGCCTCAAGGCTCACATGCCTTACAATATCACCCTTTATGGTGTGATTCAAGGCTACCGGACCAAACCCCTTTCTCTTTCCACTACAACAGGTACCCTTTCTAATTCATTCGCCAGTTTCTATGCACCTGCCTTTTTTGCAGATAGGGATATGAACCAGAAGTATTTCAGCATCCAGCCAGAGCTTAGATGTCTGGACTCTTTTGCATGAGCATGCTCAATCCTAGCGGCTTATCAAAGCATGGCTGAACATTTTTTGCCTGGAAATGTCTCATGATTATCCCATATTTTCCAGTGAGAGTCTCAGAGCCACCATGCTGTCACTTGCTTTCAGGAATTTCCATTGTCCTTAGCATGATTTACTTTTCCTTACTTTTCCCATGTCCCTGGTTGGAACTAATTGCAAGGCCCAAATCTCCATTGCACGAGATCAGTAAGAGCAGAAGTTGCTCTGTGAAAGTGGTGAACCGGATTTTAGAGCCCAGATGCCGCAGGCCATAGAATCATAGAGCTGGAAGAGACCTCAGGAGGTCATTAAGTCCAGCCCCCTGCCTAAGGCAGGACCAATCCCAATTAAATCAACCCAGCCTGGGCTTTATCAAGCTGAGTCTTTAAAACCTCTAGGGATGGAGATTCTACCACATCCCTAGGTAACCCATTCCAGTGCTTCACCACCCTCCTCGGGAAATAGTTTTTCCTAATATCCAAGTGCCATGAGCATTTATTTCTTGGATTAAAAAAGCTATTTCCAAACCAATGTGCAAAAAACAATATGGAAATGAATTACTGCTAGGGTGATTTCACATACTGGTCTGTTACTGCTTTAACATTGGTGTAAATCAGGAGAAACTCCACTGAAGTCCACAGAATTACACCTGTGTAAAACTAGTGTAAGCAAGAGAAGATTCAGGCCCTACACAAACTGAAATGGTATACAATTATCCATAATAATAATGAAAGTTATTTATATGGCTCATCTATGCACTTCCCTTTCTCTGTTGGATTAAAGCCCATCTCTGCTTTGTATAACCCAGATGTCATTCACATCAAGATGTTGCAACCCTAAAAGCTGACATGATTTTGGTTCAAACCTATCTCTCATAAATACAAGATAACTTTCGCTCAGTGATCCATAAATCTCTAGATAATTAACCCTCGGATAAAGAGAGCTTACATCATGTGTTCTACCTGCCCCGTGAGACATTTGATTTTCTTTCATTTCCAACGTGGATTGTGTCCCTCATCTTTACCTTGCAGATTTCCCTGCAACACAGAGCACTTCTACTGTCACAAGACAAACGTAGTCTTCATTGGATTGTTCCATGCCACTGCCGCTTGTAGACTTCCAAAAAGGATTTAATTAAGGGGACTTTCTAGGTCTCATTTATTCAGTGGCAACAGCTGGACACAATGGTTCTTCCTTCAGATGCACTAATGATCTGTTTCGGGCAGTATCCTCAGAACCCTTCATTAAGACGCTTCGTAACTTGCTGCAACTTCTCTCTGGCTTGGAGGACAGCTCAGGCTTATCCTTGTTTGCAGTCTCTGAGCACATTTTATCCATCAGCTAGAAGGAAATAGGAAAATGTATAATTGAATCACAAAAATGAAGATGCACTGCTTGCTTGTGGTGGTGTGTGACACAGCTTGGCTGGAGTGGTTATGACTTGAGTTGCTCATTTTGTGCTGTACACTGCCATTGCATTTGCATTAAAAACTTCAAGTAGGAGCTCCGAGCATGGGCAATATCCAGCGATAGTCTAGTCATATAGACATAAATCCCCTTTAAGTGGACAAAACAAATGTTAGGGGGTTAAAAAGAAGCCAGAACTCTGCTCAAGCCTAGGCATCTATACTGCTATTTTTAGTATCATAGAGCAAGTCCAAGTCTGTAGGCTCTGGCTCGAAGACTTGGTGCAAAGGATTTTTGCTTGTGATGTAGACATAAGAAGATAAGAATGGCCATACTGGATCAGACCAAAGGTCCATCTAGCCCAGTATCCTGTCTTCCAATTTTGGCCAATACCAGATTTCCCAGAGGGAGGGAACACAACAGGTAATCCTCATGTGATCCCTATTCTGTCACTCATTTCCAGACAAACAGAGGCTAGGCACACCATTCCTACCCATCCTGGCTAATAGCCATTGATGGACCTAACCTCCATCAATCTATCTAGCTCTTTTTTGAACCCTGTTAAAGTCCTAGTCTTCACCACATCCTCTGGCAAGGAGTTCCACAGGTTGATGGTGTGCTGAAGGAAGAAAAACTTCCTTTTGTCCAGTGTATGGCTTACACATTGCGTGCTCTCTCTCTCTCTGTTAGTTCAATGGAACTATGGTCACCCTACTGGGGTTGTTCTTTCTATTTCAGTCACATTCTCCACTTAGCTTTTCACGACATTTCTTTCTGGGGGATTTTCCATTGTCCGAATGTTCTGTTTCGGCTTCTCTTAAAACGGCAAAATGTATTCTCCAAGATTTAAGGTCTTCAGCATGTTCTTGTGCATGTGCTTTCATGCTCAGACCTCAAAGGGTTCGTTTACACTGCTGCTGGGAAGGTACTGCCCTGTTCAGTTAAACAGATGTGTGCCCTAGCTCTGTTTGAGCTTATACACTAAAAATAGCAGGGGATAGCAGCTTGGGTTTGCCAAGAAGGTACCCAAAGAGTCCAGGTGGGTTCATAGTCCCCTGGCTACTCTGAACAGGTGCCCGTGGCTATGTTGACCACCCTACATTGAGTAGAACTAGTCTGTCTACCTGCACTGGGGAACATGGTGCAGATGCAGTGTAAACATATTCAGGGATGCTTGGCTGTTCTGAGAAGCATGGAAAACCATTGCAGTCTTACAGCTTTCATGTGTGCAGCATTGTTAGATGCTTTCTCCTTTTCACTTTATTCTTCTCAGCTCATGCCAGCTCACCGCACGTGTTATTCGAACCCTCTGCTCCTCTTTTCAACTTAGACCTCTGGCAGCTATAGATGCAGGCCCAGCATTTCAGAGCACCAGACATCAGAAGGGTATTTCATTCTCACTCATTTTGTTTTCCTGTTTAGCATTGGAGCCCGAAGTTGGTGAACTAACAGTTTCCGGCATTACCCCTGAAAGCTTCAACCTTTCCTGGACAGCCACGGATAAGGCCTTCAAGATCTTTACCATTGAAATTATTGATTCTAGCAGGTTCCTGGAGCCCGTGGAGTACAACATCTCAGGCAACTTAAGGACTGCTCATATCTCAGGGCTTTCTCCCAAAACTGATTTTATTGTCTACCTCTATGGGAGCACACGTGGTTTCCGCACAAAGGCAATAAGTGCTGCAGCTACTACAGGTATATAAACCTACCTCGCATACTAACGCAACTTTCTCCTAACTCTTCTTTACAGGATTTTCCCTTTCCCCAGTCCTTACCTGTCCCAACCAGCTGCCCGACATCAATTCCTCTACCTTACCCTATAACATCTTCCGATGAAGAACTGCCGATGTTATTCTAAGATGTAAAACTGTGTTTAGGTCCCACCATACTTGTCCCAGGCAAGGAGAGGTAACCATGGTGATGAGGCATGTTCTTATTCACAACAAAAATAATCAACGGTCTTTCCTCTTGGCTCCATCCAAGCAGGGGCAGCTTCTGCTAGAGAGGAGAACCTCAAAAAGTTGGCTCAGGGGGCTAAGCATGGCACCAATACTTTTCTAGACACCTTGGCCTTGCAACATGTGTCTGTATCTGTTATGTTGCGTGGCAGGGGGAGGTGAGGTATTTCTCTTGAATAGGCAAATGTATAGGCAACTTTTTTTCTCCTTTTTGAATGTGGTTTGTGGGAAATTGACTCCATGGCAGAGGAACTATGCAAGATCTGTGCACTTTAACCCCATTTGAGGCCTCAGATTTCGATTTCGATGGGACTGAAGTGTTTTACATCTCTGGGCTGGTTGGCTGGCTGCATAGGTTGGGATTTTGTTCTTAGCACCGAGGACATGCAGACGTTTCACATCTGGATGTCTCTCTCAAATGAAAGAGGGGATCCTACTGTGGTATGTGTGCTAGTCATCTATAAAATGAAATTGGAAGTGGAGAGCTAGCAAATTACAAAAGTAGATGGAGGGTACATGCCCTGATCTTTTATTATCCATATTGACTCTGCTAATCTGTCCTCTGCAAATGGTTCCCTGCACAGTTATCTCAAAGTAAGGTGTCTACATTAACCTTCCAAGAGATTATACAAGTAAAGCAGGTTATATCACCTCACAGATTGCAAGGAACAGACCTTGTTTTATCTTAAAATAGGGATAAATTGGGGGAATTGTAACAGTGGGGATGTTGCCGCTGGCATGACTGATGGAAAGGTCTATGGAACTGTAGGGTGTTGAATGCACTTCAGCATGCTAGCAAGTATCTGCAATCAAGTCAATGGCCGGTATATTTGTAAGTGGAGAATGGTACCCTGGCAAAGGGATGAATTAGGCATGTCTCAGTCTGGGGACTGCGACCCCCCCAGGAGGACTGCAAACAGGTGTCAGTGAGTCAAAATCATGTGCCCATCTCATACTGCTAATTTGGGAGGGGAATCCTGACTAGATCTTAGCTAAGAGGGGTGGGAGTCCTGGTGCAGAAATTGTGATTAGATAGGTCTGTTCCATCTCTGACTCCTCTGACATATTTTATTTTATTTTATTGTTGGTTCTAATAATTCCAACATGTTTCCATTTGTTTCTCTTCCTATAGTAGAAGAACCTCTCCTTAGCAAACTTGCTGTCTCAAATGCTACCTCAGACAGCGCGTCCCTCACATGGGAAGCTCAGGACGATGCCTTTGATCACTTTGTTTTAGAAGTTAGAAATTCTGACTTGCCTTTGGACTCCTTGGTGCACACGGTGCCAGGGGCCTCGCGGAGTTTTGTAATCACCAACCTAAGAGCCACCACTAATTACACTGTCCAACTCCATGGTCTAGTTGATGGCCAAGGTGCTCAGACTTTGACAGCACTGGTTACCACAGGTATTTCACCTTTCAAGATTTGCTTTTTCTGTTCTCTTTTCCTGCCCACCAAACTGCGCTAGAATGTGGCTCAGAAATGCCATCACTTTTCCTCTTCTAGATGGCCCTTGTTAGCAAATTGCAGAAAGGGTCACTCTGAGGACAGGTTGAAATAAACCGAATCTGTGACTGCTTTGAAAGAAATGAATTTTAGGCCTGGAAATGGCTGAAAAGTTTCCCCAGAATTAAGGAAGCACAATGGTAAAACTTCAGTTTATTTATATATACACTTCTTTGCAAGCTCTCTGTGTATATATAAGTGAATCACTTATATATAAGTGAACTGATTTTCTGGAACATGGTTGCATCTGACCTGGAATATTCTTTGTGTCCATTCCGTCTCATTTGCCTGTGGTCTTTCTTATCATGGGAATGGAATCTGTGTCTTTGACGTTCCAGAAAGGCAACTGCATGCCATTTTGGTTCTTGTCATAAAGGTCAAATGTCTCTTGTGGCATTTGTATCTTTTACTGGTGCTTTGTGGAGCATGTAAATGACCCAAAGGAACTGCATGGAGTAATCCAGTTATCTAGCACTGGTACCACGAGGGTTTTTTTTCTGCCTGGCATCTTTCCGTATCCCCCAGCAGTGAGCTGGGATTGGAAAGGAAGTCCATCCCTTCTTGACGTTCAGCCTCATAAACTATCACTTGCACGGTTGCCAGTGAGTCTTGTAAGGGAATGGTCCACACAGTGCCTTCCGGTGGATGCCAGAGCCTCTCCGACACTGGTGGTAACCGTAGGATGTTGGGAACCCACTAAGCCTTGCCTGGAGAGAGATTTTCAACCTGCGTTGCATGTAGTAACCTTTCAAATCTGGGTGCCATGACATGGGCCTGCCTGACCAGGGTGCGAATGGCATGTGAAGGAATGTGCCCGTTTCGGGATCAGTGTAGAAAAGATTGATCTCTTCAACCTGCATGCAAGGCTGATGGCACCGTGCCTGGTTTCACCACATTGTTCCTTTACATCTGTTTGCGTCTTGACTCCTTTCTGGTCTCCTCCGCCATCTCCCGAGGCACCGAGCTCTCGCTGTAACAACTTCATTACCAACCATGTTGGTTCTGCTGGTCGTTCTGACAGCATGATGACAGTCCCAACATGCATCCTTAATTGGGGTCATTGAGAGGCCCCTCCTCCTGGGCTAGTCCAAGGTGATACAGAGGAAGGGGTACCAATTGGGCTTGCCCATTTCACCTAGGTCTTGGGCGGGTAAATTTTGGCAACTTGCATCAATTCCTTGCAGGCCTCTCTGTGTTCTTAAATTGTTCTGTTGTTCACTGAGATTTGTCGTGATTACATCCCCAAGTGTGAGTCACTGACCCAGCTACTCCCCCTGAATATCAGTGTTTCCATTTAACCACTGCTTTCCTCTCCCCAAAACATTTTGACAAGTGGGGTTTGAATAGATGCCTCATTGCTGAATTGTGTGAAAGCTGGATGGAATTGGCTCTAATTTCCCAAGCTGTTCCTTTGGGGATGAGATGGAAATTTTTGCCAAAAGGAAATATTTTTCCTCCAGACGTATTGTAAGGACCTGAAAAAAGGAGGTTGCAATGATCTTGTGCCCTCCAGTTAGTGATCCACAGTGTGTCCTAGAGAATAGGACACTGGACTTGCACTCAGCTAGCCTGGGTTATTTTCTAAGCTGACCTGTTGACCTCCTGTAGGTGCTTGGGCAAATCATGTCACTCATGTGTGCCTCAGTTTCACCCTCTGAACAGTGAGGATAATAACTCTAAGCTGCTTTTTTAAAACAGTGTAACATGAAGTCCATTAAGCATGCCATGGCTTGGAGCTGTGGTGTCCAACGTGCTAGCCACCAGCAAATTGTCGCTATTTGGCCGGGTGAGTGTGGCTAGTTCGCGATAGCAGTAGCCACTACAGTAGCTACCGCTTCAGAACTGGTTGGACACCACGAGCTTAGAGATTTGGCTTCTGCAAAAATAAAGTCACAGTTCAGATTTGTGCAGGCTAATTTTCAGAGGTGCTAAGCATCTGTGGTGCCCATGAACTTCACTGGGAGTTGTGTGCACTTAGCATGTCTGCAAATCCAGCCCAAGTTTAGGTCAGAATTTTGCAGATATTTAACAGTGAACAAAAAAGAGCAAGAAAAAAATGAAAACTAATAAGGACCTGCAGAGGGCTAATTGGAAGCCCTTATTAATGGCTAAGTGTAATGCCCAGTTTCTTATTTCTTCACCCATTGCTCAGCAGATGGTAACGGCTGGCTATGTTGCGCCACAGCCTTAAACAGCCATAACTCTTCCCTTCTTTAAGCACTGCCCTGCTCTAAATAACGCTTTCTCTTCACCTGTGTTCCTTTTCCTTCAGAGGCCAAGCCACAGCTGGGCACGCTCACACTCACAAACGTTACCCCCGACAGCTTCAACCTCTCCTGGACCACGCAAGATGGGCCTTTTGCAAAGTTTGTTATAAACGTTAGAGATTCCTATTCAGCCCACGAGCCGCAGGAGTTTATGGTGCCAGGAGGTGCCCGCAGCGCTCACATCTCAGGCCTGGTAGATTACACGGGTTATGACATTAACATTCAGGGCACCACCAATGCAGGGGTCGACACAGAACCCCTCAGTGCTTTTGTCGTGACAGGTACCCATTTAAAGCCTGCTGCTTTATGTGTTTTCTTTTTTCTTTCTTTTTTAAAAAAAGATCAATTAACGTGTAGGAATGGAGAGAACTGGGCCGGTTGTTTCTCTGTGAAACTGAGCAATGTTGACACTTAAAGAGATCATCCAGCTATTGGGTGGGGCAGAGGAGGACAAGTTCAAGTGAATTAAGAACCCATTCAAATCTTTGCTCCTAATTTCACCTGAAATTCACTGAGATTAATACAGGAAGCAATGTACACGCATTTCATAAAGTCTAAACACATTGTTATGATCCCACTGCTCATCTTCACGGTACTAACACATGGGTGAAACAGACTAGTTTCCAGCACTGAATTTGTCAGTGCTCAGCAGAGACCTAACACCTTGACAACAGCTGGTACTTGATCTGCCAGACTCACACCCTTCACATTCATCAAATTCTAACAAAGCCTTTGGCACGTCGCTACCTGCACATCAAATCAGACAGATTTGTATATTATAAATATATGCTGTAGATGGTGGGAAAAGGGAAACAATGTCTCACACAAACACAAGGTGCCCCATAGTTGTTTCACTGGTTCTTTCCTTGAAGATAGTAAGAAATACTTCACTGGACTGTTCATGCCTAGTTTTTGAAGTGCTGTGTGGCTTTGTAGTGAAGATGGGCTCAACCCAAAAAGTTCTGATTCTGATCAAAACTGAAGGTTCATATCTGAGCTCCTGGACGGAATGAAGGCTACAGTTGGAGCCAAGGGATGTGGTTCCCGGTAAACACAGAGATATACTTGCTTTGGGTCTCATTGGGCACATCTATACAGCAGGACTAAAGTCGAGTTAAGATACACAACTTCAGCTACATTAATTGCATAGCTAAAATCGAAGTACCTTAACTCAGACTTTGGCGCTACACTGCAAGAAGTCGAAGGAAGAGCACTCTTCCTTCGACTTTCCTTACTCCTCATGAAATGAGGGTTACAGATGTCGGAATATAGGCTTGTTATTTTGAAATGTTTTCAAAATAAAGGGCTTGTTGTGTAGATGTGCGCTGTTATTTCAAAATAATGTGAGATATTTCGAAATAAATGTGCATTGTAGACATATCCTCCGAGTCATAGAATCCTAGAACACTAGAACTGGAAGGGACCTCGAGAGGTCATCGAGTCCAGTCCCCTGCCCTCACAGCAGGACTTAATACCACCTAGACCAGGGGTTCTTAACCTTTTTACCTTAACACCTCCCCTGAAAGTGAACTTCATGTTCACACCCCCCTGGGACCTATTTTGTGCACAGCCTAGCCCTGCCCCCTCACCTGACAGGAAGCTAAGGGGCATGGCTAGGACTATAAGAACTCTACCAGGGCGGGGGCCCCAGCCTCTGAGGGAGACAGAGGCCTGCCCAGAGCTCCTGGCTGACGAGGCTGAGACCTGGCCTGGGCCTCCCACAGCTGCCTTCCCTGAGGCCAGTGAAGGCTTCCCTGCCTGGGTGGACGAGGCCAGCCCAAGCCGGCCAGCAGGGCTACTCTCTGACCTAGAGGAACCCAAGGCTCTACTGGTGCCTGGCGATTTGGAGGACCAGCCTGAGCTGAAGGCCCGGCTTGAACCCCGAGGCCTGCCTGAACCCTGGGACCTGGCGAACCAGCTGGACACAGCCGTCCGAGCTAATTCCCAAGTCTGACGGCTGGTAGCGCTGCAGGGTGAGTGAACCCCGTTACAATGCCTAAATGAATAATATGAGCTTTTTACTTTGGACCTTTTCCTAACAAAGTTACGTAATATTTGAAGATGAAAGTCGGCAAGGCTCACGTACTATTATTGTAGTGTGTCGTCACATAGGCCTGATTGATTTGCACTGCTATTGTAGTGTGCCGATCTCTAGGAGTTAATAAGAAATTCATGTTTATAATTTTATTCATAATATTAATTCTGAATAAATCTAAACTTTAGAATTTTATACATTGAGAAGGCAATTGCGATAAATTTTCTGGGAGGCACCTCACACCTCCCCTGTATCCCCTTCACACCTCCCCTGGGGAGGCGCACCTCACTGGTTAAGAACCCCTGACCTAGACTATCCCTAATAGATGTCTATCTAACTTGCTCTTAAATATCTCCAGAGATGGCAATTCCACAACCTCCCTAGGCAACTTGTTCCAGTGTTTCACCACCGTGACAGTTAGGAAGTTTTTCCTAATGTCCAACCTAAACCTCCCTTACTGCAGTTTAAGCCCATTGTTCTTTGTCCTATCCTCAGAGGCCAAGGAGAACAATTTTTCTCCCTCTTCCTTGTAACACCCTTTTGGATACCTGAAAGCTGCTTTCATGTTCCCTCTCAGTCTTCTCCTTTCCAAAGTAAAGAAATCCAATTCTTTCAGTCTTCCTTCATAGGTCCTATTCTCTAGACCTTTACCTTTAGAGTCAGCCCACTAAAAACAATAGTGTGGCCATGACAGCAAGTTAGCAAACAGCAGCATGGGCTGGCTAAGTCTAGTACTCACTGTGAGCTACAAGCAGGCCTTTACTCAGACCAAAGCCCATGCTGCCATTTGCTGCTGCTCATACAACCACAGTCAAGCAACCAGAGGCTCTCCTGCTCAGTGAGAAATCGCACAGGTATGTCTTGGTGAGCTGGGAATCACACTCCGACCTCCATGTGGAAACATGGTCTAAGCTGTAGAATTCAGCTCAGAAACTTTCTCAGACACCTGAGCTGAGTGTTTCAGATCTATGGCTCTGATGTGGGCCCATCTCTACTGTTCAAAGTTCTTTATGTAGCTCCTATTGAAATGGGTCAGGGTTATTTTAGGGTGGATGGTCAGGAAAGAAGCAAATCAAGGAACACATCTAGCCAACACTAATGAGGGATAAACTTCCACTGCGATAAGTAATAATATTGAGTAAGAATTGCAAGAGTCCATGAGTGGGCTATAGGAAACAGTCAGGCCAGATTTTTTTTTAAAAAGTTTAAGGTCAGATTGTCAAGAACTGTATATCCGAATCAGGGCTAGAGTCTCAAACATGTTCCCAATAGCTCCCATTGGGACTCTGAGGACCAGATTTTCAGAGAAGATCTACAGGCTTGGCTCCTTTGAAATCCTGGCTGCTTATTATAGTGCTTAAATGGAATTGGATCTCTTTTGAACTAATGGCCCCAGGCCTCTGAACTTAAACTAGTGCCATTTTGGTCTGAAAATTACCAGAAGAAACATTCTTTATTGGAATCTCTTTAAGTTGTCAACATGTCAGTTAAAGGGGAGAGAGGAGGAAGTGGCTGGCTATTTAGATTTTTAGCCAGTCTGATCTTCAGCTGTTAGCTGCAGTCATTAGCTGTTGCTGACAATCTCTGAAAGGAACAATCCTTCAGTTGTTGGAATTCTATGCTTGCTGTGACCCATGCTGGTTTAAAGCCTGGTTCTGCTGGGTCTGCCCTTGGAAAGCAAATTATACTGGTGTGAAGTAGTGAGATATATCAACATTGAGGCTTGTCCCTCAAGCATTGGTGATGGAGAAGGGAGAAGGGCAATAGATATCTTACTCAACTCATCTTACACATGTATTATTCACAGTTAATTCTGTGTGCATGTAAAATTCAGGAAACTTGTTTCGGTACCCAGGTTGGGGATTTTCAAAGGGACCCATGAGAATTAGACACTATTGACATGCAGTGGGAATCCCATTGACATGCAGTGGGAATTGAACACATAACTTCCTTATGCTCCTTTGAATATCCTGACCTTCTTGTAGCTGCCATTCATTTCCATTAAATCTTACATATTTCAGGGGAAACTTGTGACTGATGTTTGTTGGAAGCTGTAACACTGTCTAACTCGCCATTTTTTTTTTTGTTTTTTTTTGCTTTTTTTTGCACTTTCCTTTCTTAGAGTCCATGCCCTCACTGGAAAACCTAACTGTCTCTGACATTAATCCTTATGGGTTCACGGTGTCCTGGATGGCATCAGAGAATGCCTTTGACAACTTTCTAGTAATCGTGGTGGACTCTGGAAAGCTCCTGGACCCACAGGAGTTCCTCCTTACAGGAGCCCAGCGGCAACTGGAGCTTAAAGGCCTTATTACTGGCATTGGCTATGAGGTTATGCTTTATGGTTTTGCCAAGGGGCGCCAAACAAAGCCCCTAAGCACTGTGGCTATTACAGGTATATTATCGTGGGCAAACTGTTCCCTTCCATCCTCTCTTTCATGCTTCTCTTCTCACCTGGATGATGTTGTGTACAATCCATTTGCAAAACAAACCATGGCTTTTGCATCTCCTTTTTCACCCTATCCTCATCATGACTGATAGGTTCACAATTGTGATGTCATTTCTACATTTCTTGGTGTTTTCATTATGTTCTGCCTCTGTGGGGTCCAATGGAGAAGAGTGGAACAGGGTTGAGGGGTAAATGGCTCAAATTGCTCCATGCAAGAACCCGTAGTTGGAGAAAGGACACTAGGTGCAGGAGTTTGCAAGTCGAAATCCACCAGGTACCTTGGTCTTCTTCAAGTGTTCAAATGTCAGGACCGTTCTGGAGAGTCATACTGGGCTTCCTGACCAGGGACTCCTCTTCTTCGTGCTCTCTCTCAGAAAAAACCACAAGATGATCAATACAACCAACCGAGTTGGGCGTCTCTCAACAAAGCATTGCCTGTGTTGTCATTTTCATCGTAGCTGAGTTTTTCCAGCTGCATTTGGGTCTTCTTGAACAATTTATTGCTATCTGAATGGTTCTTGTCACCAAGTCTCAGCCGCAAGATTTGCTCATTTCATGCACCAGCAAAGATGGAGTTATATAGCTGAACGTTGGTAACAAAATAAATATTGGTCTTGTGAAAAATATAAGTGCAATGGAGATGCTGTTAAATAGTTACTGTTCTGGTAGCTTTCCTACAACTAGTGATACCAAGTGTACCCTATAAAGCAAATAACCACAATAATAGTGACAAAATCATCTTGGTTAACCACTAGAATCCTCTTTGGTGTCTTCCTCTACTAAGGGTATTAGATGAACCTCTTTGGACATAAGTGTACAGTTTTCAGAATATAGATTTTTCTTGATTTCCCATTGCTACTTCAGCATTGATTCCAAAGGAAAAGTAGACACTGTAGTTTTGATCAGAAGCATCAGAACGTCCAGAACCACATGCAATAATCATTGGGAATGAGGGAAAAAGATCTTTTCAATGATTCCTCTACCGAGTTCCTATCGAAGGGCAAGAAGCAAGCAATGTTATAGGCACAGCTGCAGATTATTAACAATCACTTATTTTTATTTTTCATAAAAATCTCAGAAAGGATGGGCAACTCTAGTGGAAGACAGAGAACAAATAAGCATCACTTTTACTACTAGCATCTTTAATAGTGCATGAGAGGCAAAATGGCGTGTATCCAGATATTAATTTTGTTTTGGGGTATTGTAAAAGTTGGGTACTCCTCTACACACACTCATATATATCCTGTACAGTACATGTATTACTCTTAAATATCCAAAGCTTTTTTTTTTCTTCTTTTATAGCTAGCAGATTGTTCCAATTTCTTTGAATTGTGGCTGGATTTTTTGCAGCATGCTCTAACCTGATGTAGAGCAGTCATGATGGCCTGGTGGTGGGGGTGGGGAATTTAATTTCTTCTTCCTACTGCTATTTTTCCTTTTTTAGAAGCGGAACCCGAGGTCGACAACCTTCTAGTTTCAGATGCCACCCCAGATGGTTTCCGTCTTTCCTGGACCGCAGATGACGATATCTTCGACAGCTTTGTTCTTAAAATCAGGGATACCGACAGGCAGTCTGACCCACGGGAATTAATTGTGCCAGGACATGAACGCACTCAAGATATAACGGGGCTGAAGGAGGGTACTAAGTATGACATTGAACTCTATGGAATGATCAGTGGACGACGTTCCCAGCCCATAAATACAGTAGCTACCACAGGTATTGTCTCTACAACAGAGGGAGAAAAGCATTGTGTGTATGTCTGTCTCTCTTAATTTTTCTCCTTCTCACATCCAGTTGGACTAACAAAGTGTTAAAAAACCTTTTGTACCCCACAACTCTCATCAAGATTTCTTTTCTCTGCAATCTGCTCCATCTGACAGAGCCTACTCTTGACCTTGATTTTCTTCACCATATTTAATAAAACACAAGGTTTATTATCTAAAGGTAAGCAGCATAGTCTAGTGGTTAGAGCACAGGGCTTTGGAGACAGGAGATTTGCTTTCTGTTGCAAGCACTGTCAATGACTTGCTATGTGACAGTCAGTTTTCTTCACTCTCCCTCAGTTTCCCACCTGTGAAAAATGGAGGATTAAAGTTTACCTAACTCCCAGAGCTATTAAGAGCCTACTCAGTTAGGGCAACATGTGGAGCATCCTCACACTGATTTTAATGGGTGCTAATGAGGCTCTAATGTTCATGGGAATCTTCATTCTTTTGAGAAAGTGCTTTAAAGTTCTCAAATAGAGGCCCCTATAACTAGCTTCAGTGTGAGAACAGTATGTTGGTGTCAGTCACTATTTAGTTGAGTCTTCCAGTTAATGGTGCCCCCCTAGGAAAGAGGTAGACACCAGAGTTTGTTAGTTCTGTTTTGATTAGAAACCAAGGGCTGAATTCTATACTGTATCATACCAGCTTTACTCGGGTGGGTTTCCATTGACTTTGAAGATGCTTACCTGGCATAGAATGGAATTCTGCCAAGGCCCCAGTGTCTAATACCTGGATGCCTTTCAAATCTCCTGTGGAATAAACTCCTATCCAGACCATTTTAAACTGCCAGATTGTTAGAAGGAGGCCAGGGTGAAAATGAGAACCAGGCCCCAAATCTAGCTTGGGAACCTTTAGACCAGGGCTAACGATAGCACGCAGTCCGGTTGTTTGTGGCCTGCAGTGTGGTTTGGATTTATGTGGGGCTCAACACATGGCCCACGGGTGGGAGCCAAAACAAAAAAGTAGTCAGTATCAGTAGTCTTCTGTTGAGATGCGTTTTAGTGGTTAAATTCCTGAACTGTCCTTGCTCATTAAAGTGCTGTCATATGGGTGGAAATGGGGTAAATATTGCATTTTATAAATATCAGCAGAACGGACTTAAATGGGCATGTGTGTTGTGTAGTCTTGCCTGAATCTTTGTATTCATGCCTGTGACGCTTCATGCAGGGATGAATTTCAACCATGCATAAGAATTTCAGGATCGGGGACTGCCAGAGGCACCTGTCTCCAGGGCTTTCAATCCACCAGCTTTCACCAGCCACTGAATCCACTATCGGATTATTCCCAGCTCATTTTCCGACAGGGGTTTTCTTCTTTGCTGTTTCCCCCCAGATCATGGATTTATGGCAAAATCAGCAGCAGCTTTTGTGTGGCGCAGTTTTACCAAACTCCATTTGCTTTATCTTTTCACCCCACCCCCGGCTTTTGTTTTTGAGCAAATCCAGCAGGCCCAAGGGGGACAGCGACTTCTCAGGGGAGTGCAGGTTGTTTTCCTTTCCTTTCCTTTCCTTTCCCTTCTATTGATTTAGAGCCCTGCTCTTGGAGCTCAAAGACCACCTGGAATCACAATCACAAATCACCCTATTTCCTGCAACCTTTCTTTCCAAGCCATTTCACCCACCAGCTCTTTCTTTTTTTCCTTTCACCTTCCACCCTGACTTTGTCTCCACTGATAATACAGCTTGTGTTTGGTATTTATCACTCTTCAGCTAATGGACTTCTTTTGTGGGGGCTATTTATTTTTTTATCAATGATCAGAGTTGGTTTTGGGGTAGTCTAAAGGGCAGATTGGGACTGAAGGCGGCATATAAACTTTCAAACACCCTACCTACGGTGCTGGGAGCCCTCTCCACCGGCAGATCACAGTCGCTTCAGGTCTAAATTGTTGAATTACTGCTCAGTCTGTGGCAAACATTTAGAACACATCTTCAGATGGAATCTCTTTCACACATGTTTTCCTACTTATCTGAGTGGGTTTACGTGTCTGATTCACGCCAGCGTGCATACAAACTTAGGAGCCAGTGTTGGAAAGGCATCAGGTTTTTAATAAAAGTGTGCGTAAGTATGTTTGAGAAACCAAAGCCCCAGATGAGTGTACTAAGGTCACCATTCTCTCCATCTCCGCTCATAAGATATCTATCCCCAGTGGTTCCACCTATTCAAAAATATGTATGGGGCCATATTCACTGTTGCATTCTGGCTGCTTTATGTTGCTCTCACAATGCAAATCAGCCATCAACTCAGCTGAGCGTGTGCGTTTATGGCTGTGTGTACACAGCAGCCAGGGAATAGTCCTAATTCTTCTTCAAGTGGCCCTGTGGGTGCTCCACTCTAGGTGTCGGGTCCATCCCGGCACCACTGGTTGGAAGATTTCGGCTGCCTGGCTCTCAACATGTATATACTTTACCTATGCCCCTTTAAATTCTGCTTAATGACGCCCCCTACTTTGGAAAGAGAGAGAGAGAAGCGAAGGTTTTATCCATAGGAAAAAAATCCAAACAAATTCCTTCCCCGCCCTCCTCCTGTTAAACGATTTGTTCTCTGGCTCTCACTATCCAGTCACTTCCTAGCCAGGGAATGTGTTTTCCCCTGCTTGCTCCCTGGATGAAATTCTGTTTTCCTATGCAAGGTTCAGGTTCAGGTTCCAGAGGGGAGCTCTACATGGAATCCTCCCCAAGTTCATAGGCAGGGGGCAGAAGGGCTGGCCAGCCAGGTCACAGGTGTTCTGCAGCCTGTCGTGGTGGATGTGTGTAGTTTGGGTCCCACTGGCTGCCTTTGAGTCTCTGCTGCAGACCACTACAAAGAGAGAAATGCCCTCCAGAATTGTGCTCCATGGGGAGTGAATGGCGTCTTCTACGCACTGCCCAGCCTGGAGCCTTACTCTCTAGTGCCATGGGGCTGCTAAGTTCCCTCTGCACTCCGGACCTTCCGTGACTTTGACGAGGAGCTATTGTGATCTCATCTGGGGCTTGATCCTGCAAATTGCTAAGCATTCTCCACCTCCTTTGTCTCAGAGACAGCTGAGGGCACCCAGCCCCTCTCAGGATGGGGCCCTTGATACACTGACTGAAGACCTTTTGGGGGCTGGCTGCCCTCTGGTCACTTGGCACCGTGAGAGGGCTCGCTCTGCTTCTGAAGAGTGCCGTGTACAAATACTTCTCAGGGTGTGGGACTCAACATAGACCAAATGAAATTGGCCATAGAAAATTTTTTTTTTGGGGGGGGAGGGGGGCAGAACAAATTCTGTGCAATATAGAGTGCAAACTCAGCAATGGATCTAAAGACATTACTGTTTAACCCCTGCAATTGCCAATAGTCCCTGCAATATACTATTAATAAAGTAATAATAACAATTAATCATTAATTAATAATACAGTTAATAGCTTTTTATGAAGCTGGACATTGCTGTAATTTTGCTGGAAATAACCTCCCTCGAAATCAGGACCAAAAAATGATTATTCTGGGCAGGTAATAAAATTCATAGCTGTGTGGCACTTTCTCTAGTCTGGTTTGAACTGGATATTTATAGCTTCATCTCCTCTGATAGAAGACTGAGGTCAATTGTTATTCCAGCAAAACATGATTGATAAGCACACGCTTTAACTCATTCTCTGCGTCTGTTTTCTCTCCCTCTGATTCCATTGGTAGTTGTGGGATCGCCCAAGGCAATCACTTTCTCTGACATTACTGAAAACTCAGCCACAGTCAGCTGGACGCCTCCCCGGACCCGAGTGGAGAGCTTCCGAATTTCATATGTCCCCATCACAGGAGGTAAGAAAGCAGAAGGACGAATGGTGCAGTGGAGAGAGTAGAAATCAAGTGAAAGGGACTACATAGCAGTCCAGTCTGCCTATCAGGCCACAGAGGTTCATTCTCGGGCTAGCCAGCAGATGGCAGGCTCAGTTCGTGTGCACTTAACTGGTTCCAGTGGGTGGAATTAGTGTATGAATGGTACATCTAGTACCGGTATGTCATGGATCAGATTTGCAAAAAAGGCCAGATTTCCAAGTGCTCAATATTGGAGACAGATTTTCCAAAGAGCTCAGCTCCCATTTAGGCTCCTAGGCAGTTCAGAGTGTGGGCATCAGGCTGCGCACCTTTGAAAAACTGGCCCTGGAAGATTAAAAATAGTTTATTTTTAAAATGTCACCTGCAGCTTTGACTGTGTTTTCTAAGTCAACACTTTTTGAATCGCCCTTACGGATGTTTCATTCCCTCCACACCCTGAGATCTCTCCGGCTTAGTGCTTTGGGTTTTTGTCTTTGTGATGAGTAGTAGTACCGTTCATGGGACCATTTCATGGGAATGATGAGCTAACAGGGACTACAAGAAACATGCTGGAAACATGACAGAACAGAAGAGAACTGGAAGGAAATTGGGATGAAACTACAAAATGGGAAACCACCACCATGGGGCTGGTTTTTCACCTAAGATTTAGGCCTTGATCTAGCAAAATCCGTGTGTATCTTTAAACTCATGACTCATCACTTTGAAATTATTGGGATTTCTCAAAAGTATAAACTTACACGTGTGCTTAAATGCTTTGTTGTAGTAGGACCAGAATTTGGAATCAATAAATTTCCTGAGTCCCTGTTCATGTAGATAGGACCTCTCAGGCTATTACTCACTCTGTCTTGGGCTGTGATTAAAAGGGCCATGGAGAGAGACTGAATAGAGATCTGGTCTTTCTTCGCCTCCCACCAGAAACAAAACCAAAGAGGTCCAAAAGTCCAAGACCCCCTTGATTTCTTTGTATTTAATTGCAGTGCAAATACCTACATTTGCATGTGACAGTTACATTTTGCACTTTTGAGGGAAGTTCTGGAATCCCCATCACTGGATTTAAAGAACAGGCTGGATACACACTTGGCAGGGAGGGTCTAGCCACTGCAGCCTTTATTCACTCCTGCCTCAGTGCACGGGGCTGGACTTGGTGACTTCTCGAGGTACATTCCAGCCCTGTATTGCTAGAAATGATCGTCTTTGTTTGAAGCACAGCACAGGAGTCTAAACTCTAGTTGGAACAACATTACACCATTGCCTTGACATTTGGTTTGCTCCTAGGTACTCCCAAAGTTGTGACAGTGGATGGCACCAAGACTAGAACCACGCTGGTGAAATTGATCCCAGGTGTAGCCTACACTGTCAGTATAATCTCCATCAAAGGATTTGAAGAAAGTGAGCCTGTCTCTGGAACTCTGACTACAGGTAACATCCAAAAGAAATCAGGTGCTAGTAATCTTGTTTCGGTATATTACATGTGTCATACAGAAGACTCATAAAAAGACCCATCAATCACATTTTAGCTACCCCTCTATGCTGACTAGACGATTTCTTTCTTCAGTGTACTGTCTGGTGGTTTACGATTCTTTGTATTTGTTTCACAGATGAGTCTAAAGGCTTTAATTGTGATCAGGGCCCCATTCTGCTAAGCACTGTACCAACCTGTAGTAAGTGAGAGAGACCCTGCCTCAGACAAGAGAGAAAGGATTATTAGCCCCGTTTTGCAGATGGGGAACTGAGGCACAGCTTAAGTGACTTGGCCCCAGTCAGACAAGGAGTGAGAGGCAGAACAAGAAATTTGTCTTTGGTCTCCTGAGTCTGAGCCCAGTATCAGAAAACCCTCCCCTCTCTCGTCTTTCCGTTGTTTAGCCTAGTTTCCAGTAACCCACCGACAGGGTTTCCCCCATATCCCTTTGGAAACCATTTGCAGTCTAGTTGGTTCATCATTCTCCTGGGCTCATAGAGGTACAGAGCACTGGGAAAAAGGAACCATGCACTCATCTCTGAAGATCAAGTCATATTTCACATCCCTCTCCCCATGCATGGTGTCTGAGGGAAGATACAATCTGCACAAGAAAGAAAAGCACAGAGTGTGATTCAAAGGAGCTGTGGTTGGAGGTCTGTTGAAGGCGGTAAAGGCCAGGGGTTGCCATCCCCAACAATCTGTCTGGAGAGAAGGAAAGAAATATATCCAGTCTGAGACTACGTCTACACTGCAGCCTTTTGTCGGCAGAGACAACGCAAATGAAGCGCTCATTAGCATTTGTCGCGCTGTCATTTGCATATTCTCTGCCCATGCTTTTTGCTCAAGAGTTTTTTGAGCAAAAACAAGCAGTGTAGGCGGGGCTGTTTTGTGCAAAAAAACCCTCTTTTGTGCAAGATCCCTTATGCCTCAAAAAAGGAGGTATACTGGAGGTTGTGCTAAAGGATTTTTTTGTGCAAAACGGTCCCATTTACATTGCTTGTTTTTGTGCAAAAACCTCTTCATGCTTCATTTGCATTGTCTCTGCCGACAAAAGGCTGAGAGGGGCCACCAGACTGAGGATGTCAGGAGTTTTACCCGAGAGCCTGTGGAACTGAGACTTTGAATATAATTCATATTGCTGTGTCTCCTCCTCTCCCATGATGACCTCTTTCCAATAGCCTCCCTTCCCCCTGCAATTCCAAAGAGGACCATACAGCAGCAGCAGCCTGTGAACAATTTGTACCATGTGCCTGGTGCAGCATGGTACCTGCTGCAGGGAAGTCCTTAATAGGTATAGTCTCCTCATTATGGTATTGTGTATCTCTTCAGCTCTGGACAGCCCATCAGGCCTGGTAGCCGTGAATATCACAGATTCTGAGGCGTTGGCAGTCTGGCAGCCAGCAATCGCGGCGGTGGACAATTACATCATCTCCTACATTGCTGAGGATGGTAAGATGTGTCCATGGGGAGTCTCTGAGCTTGACCACTGGTGTAGGTGCCCCAGGGTGGAATCTCTCTATCCCTAGAGGGTTTTAAGTTACAGCTTGACAAAGCCCTGGCTGGGCTGATTGAGTTGGGGTTGGTCCTGCTTTGGGACGGGGGCTGGACGCGATGACTCCTGAGGGCTCGTCCAATCCTAAGATTCTATGACCACAGGGCAGAGAGTGAGACTGGTGCTCTGAATTGGATGCAGTGACTGGGAGAAGATGAGAAAGGTTAAATGTGAGGGGTGCAGGCTGGTTAGGAATATGTTACAAAATCCTCCTTAAAGAAACTTAGCCCTAATACAGGTGCTGAGCAGCAGTGGTGCTATGTGAGTTTTATCCTGAAGGTGAAGAACACACACTGTTATTTTCAGCATGTACAGGAGAGGGGGCTAATACTTTTGTATGGAATTGACTATAGAATGAACAATTTACTTGCACCTTTGGTGCAAATTGAAGGCAGCAACTGCCCTGAGCCACTGTTTCTGCTTATTTCAACCTTATCCTGAAGCATCAGGAAAATGTGTCACCTTCCAATGAATGACCAGCCCTTAATGCAGAATGTGATCATTCAAACAGAGGGGTGGTGTTAAGCCTCCACCTGAGAAGTGTGCATCACTTGTGGTGAATGCCCTGAGCTCTAGTAGCCCGTAAGCTAACGTTATCTTCCATCTTTTGTGTGTTCGTTGTGTAGAACCAGAAATTACCCAGATGGTATCCGGAAACACTGTGGAATATGACCTTAATGACCTTCGTCCTGCAACTGAATATACACTGAAGATCTATGCCATAAAGGGACCACAGAAGAGTGAAACGGTCTTCACCAAATTCACTACAGGTGGAGTGTCCAGCTTTTCCCCAGCATTGCAGCCTCTTGTAGTGTGGCAACATTGTATTGTCCACTGCCAGCAAGCCAGCACTGCACTCACTGTATTTTGTTTCCTTTAGGCATGGATGCTCCAAAAGATTTAAGTGCCTCTGAGGTTCAGTCAGAAACAGCAGTGCTGTCTTGGAGGCCTCCACGTGCTTCGGTCACTGGCTATCTTCTTATCTACGAGTCTGTCGACGGCAGAGTCAAGGTACCAGACTTGGATCTCTAAGGGTATGTCTACACTACCACCCTAGTTCGAACTAGGGTGGTAATGTAGGCAACCGGCGTTGCAAATGAAGCCCGGGATTTGAATTTCCCGGGCTTCATTTACATAAAGCTGGGCGCCGCCATTTTTAAATGTCCGCTAGTGCGGACTCCGTGCCACACGGCTACACACGGCACGGACTAGGTAGTTCGTTTCACGAGGAGTAACGGTAGTTCGGACTAGGAAGCCTAGTCCGAACTACCTAGTCCGTGCCGCGTGTAGCCACGTGGCACGGAGTCCGCACTAGCGGACATTTAAAAATGGCGGCGCCCGGCTTTATGCAAATGAAGCCCGGGAAATTCAAATCCCGGGCTTCATTTGCAACTCCGGTTGCCTACATTACCACCCTAGTTCGAACTGGGGTGGTAGTGTAGACATACCCTAACCTATTAATTCTGTGTTAGCCGCTATGCTTGCAGAGCTGCTCAGAAATGCCAGTCAGTGGGGTGTAACCTCACATGCAAGCACTTTCCTGACTCAGAGCCCATAATGAAAACTTAGCTGCAGACTGAAAAACATTGAGCCTATGTCTACACAGCAACCCTGATGGACACTCTGACATCGACCCCCCGGTAGTCAATTTAGCAGGTCTAGTTAAGACCCACCAAATCAACTGCAGATCGCTCTGCAGCTGACCCCTGTTCTCTACCCGAGATAAGAAGAGTAAGGGAAATCGATGCAAGAGTTTGACCCCATGGTAACCTGACCTAAGATACATTGACTCCAGCTACAAGAATAACATAGCTGGAGATGTGTAGCTTAGGTCATCTTAGGATGTTAGTATAGATATAGCACATCTTCCCTTCGCAGAGAGGAAGGGAGGGCAGAATAAGACAGCAGAAGCTGCCTTCTCATATCCAAAGTCTATGGCATAAATACAATAGGCAAGCAGTCTAAAAACAACTTCTGAATTTGGATGCTCAACTGGAACCATTATTAAAGACCTATTTTTTGTGTGTGTTCAGTACTTTCAAAAAATCAGGTCTCTTCAAGGTATTTCAAGATGGATGTCCCAAATTGTCATGTTTGGAAATTCAGGTCAGTGGCATCTACAGACATACCACAAAAGACAATCCGGCTTAATTTTTGATTAACTTTCCCCCTACGGCAGTACATAATGTGCACATATCAGCCACGTTAACATGCTCTACCATGGCTTGCTTTTAAGCTATGCTACTTAAACATTATAATATTAAAATTCATTTCTAGGAAACCTTTCTCATGCTACTAATGTACGTGAGCATGGTAAGAATCTCATAGGAATCTAGCGTTTCACAATCAATCATTTAAATGGTTAAAATACCATCAATCATTTACATAAAAAGGCATTGGGGAAAAAATCTAAAATATGTAACGGTTCCAGTCCATATGTTTATTCATTGCAGAGTTTTACTGGGATTTTTTCTTTCCACAGGAAGTCATCCTGGGACCTGAGGCAACTTCCTACAGCTTGTCTGAGCTGAGCCCATCCACCCAGTACACCGTGAAACTACAGGCACTGAACAGAGGCCTGAAGAGCAGGATAATCCAGACTGTTTTCACCACAAGTAAGGCTTTTGCTCAGCATGGGGGGTTGGCGTCAGCTACAAGTTTCCTTTCTTAGGGCCAAGTGGAGCTCTGGAGTGAGAAGTTGCAGCTCCATCAAAGGGCAGTTGCTTCTCCTGGCTGTAGGCTGCGGGCAGTGCAGCTCACTCGCAGAGTGTGTTTGCATTGCAGTCAGAGGCCTGACTATAGTTCAAGTTGCTTGAACTAGCGCTGAGCTAGCTAGCTTGAAAAACAATAGCAGTGAAACCCCAGCAGCATGGACCATGCAACCCACCCCTGGGATCCTGAGCATCCACTCAAATGACTAGCCTCCATGGAGAAGGCTAGCGTGAGGATCCCTGCACCACTTAACCTCTGTACAAGGCAGCAGTCCCATTCACTGCCCTGATACAGGAAGGAAGGAATTCAGCTATTCAGTCCCTCCACATTTTTTTCATACAACGCCTGATTCTGCCTGTGAGTGGGAGAGGCTTGCGCTCAGGATGAATTTGGCTCTCAGCACTTCATCCTGGCACTAGCTTCTGCCCTGCCTTCTCCCCCACTGAGCTCACTGAGTCTTCGCACTGCTACCCCAGAGGGTTCGTTCTGCCCGACCTGTGAAGGCTCACCAATGAGCTGAATGCTAATGGATCCGGTATTCTGGAAGCCTCATCACAGCTGACACTGCTAGCAGCCAGTTCTCCTACTGGCATTTTTGATGGCAGGGAAAATGCAATGACGATTTCAAGGATTACTTGGCTACATAATTCCACTAGCCACTCTCTGCTCTTCTCACAATTCTCAACCTTCCAAACACAGCAGCCTCTTCTGTTGTTTGCCTCTGACTTCTGCCACCATGCTGACACCTGACCATGTGCTTATAAAATTGAAGTTAATGGAGATATGCTAATGAGCAGGAGCAGAATCAGATATTCAGGTCTGCGGACAGGATAGGGGCAGAAGGGGACAACTGGAGGAATTGGAGAAGGTCCAGAGAAGAGCAACAAAAAGGATTAAAGGTCTAGAAAACACGAGCTAGGAGGGAAGACTGAAAGAATTGGGCTTGTTTAGTTTGGAAAGGAGAAGACTGAGAGGGGTCATGAGAGCAGTTTTCAAGTATCTAAAAATGTGTGAGGAGGAGGGAGAAAAGTTGTTCTCTTTGCCTCTGAGGATAGGACAGGAAGCAATGGGCTTAAACTGCAGCAAGGGAGGCTTAGGTTGGACATTAGGAAAAACTTCCTGTCAGAAGGGTTAAACACTGGAATAAATTGCCTGGGGCAGTTATGGAATCCCCATCCCTGGAGATATTTAAGAGCAGGTTGGACAGACATCTGTCAGGGATGATCTTCTAGATGGTGCTTGGTCCTGCTGTGAGGGCAGGAGACTGGACTCGATGACCTCTCACGTTCCCTTCCAGCCCTAGGATTCTAGGATTCTAACTTCCCCGTGGTCTGGTGATGCGAAAGGGGCTGGAGCTCCTAACCACCACCGGTGCCACTGCAGCTGTACCATCAGGAGCTCGGGGCCCTTGCTGCAGAGCTCTGGGAAGTATGCTCCAGACAGTGCAGGGGGAGGAAGGCTGGCCCACTCCTGCTACCCTGGCCCCACCCTTCTGCCCAAGGCCTTGCTCCTTCTGGGAGCCCGGAGCTGCCTCCTCTGCCTCCCACATTACCCAAGGACTTGGTGAGTTTGTCACCTTGCCTGCAGATGTGCTTAAGTGACATCTGCCTTCTTGGTCATGACCAGGAACAGGAGGCCTCCAGAGCTGAAGTATGAATCTCTATAGCATCAGCTGATGAGTTAGTCCCTTATTCAGGCAAACAGATAAGTACAGGCTTAATTTTAAGTACATGCTTGAGTCATGTTGATTTCAGTGAGGAGGTAAGCACATGAATAAGTGCACTAGTAATTGTCCTAGGTAGGAATGTTTTCCTGAATGGGAGACCTAAATCTCATGAGAGGGATCTGCAACACAGTCAAATCCTCTGGCCCAGAGAGCATCACACAAGACACAATGGATCTTGAGTTACATTTTCACAGCTGGCTTGGAGACTAAACAACAATAATAGTAGAAATTCACCTAATATACACCTAATAATTTCCAGAACAACACCTAAATACAGCTGAGCAGTTATTTCCACTGAATATGCTATACTCAACCGCATTTTCAGACATTTCAAAGATGGCAAGAAAATACCCCAGACATTCACATTTTCATAGTTTTGGAGATTTGGGGTTTAGAAATTGTATTGCACCTATGCCTATATTGTCCAGGTGGGACCTCCCTGGTCCGGCACACCTGGGACCTGAGCGGTCCCAAATTACAGCCTAGCTGCACTGCAAGGCTGCACTCCCCACTGCCAGCCCCATGTGGCTTGCACTCCTGAACCTGGCCAGCTGTGGCTGTCCGATCCAGCAAATGAATTACCCAAACTACAGGAAGGTTTTGATGCTCCTTTTCATAAATGAGTTCTCACACATTGTTCTCTGTTTCTTTCCTGTGCAGCTGGATTTCTCTATCCTTTCCCTAGAGACTGCTCCCAAGCCCTGCTGAATGGAGAAAGTGCCTCTGGGCTTTACACCATTTACATGAACGGAGACAAGTCGCAGCCTGTGGAGGTGTATTGTGACATGACCTCTGATGGAGGTGGATGGATTGTGAGTATTCTGTGGGAAGGGATCCAAAACCGCTATGTCCCTGTTCTCCTAGGTCAAGAACATGAGACAGAGCCCAGCCTCGGTCAACATCTTCTGCATGATTAACGAAGGTGCATTAACGTGCCAAAAGACTTGGAAAATGAAGTTTTAGTTCTCAACCGGACTGCAGTGGGGGTGGGAGACTCAAGCAGAGGTGAAGCCACTTCCAAAACCTTGCAGGAGAAATGAGGGTTGAGAAGAATGCATTAGTTCTATGGCCAGACTGAGGAACTGGTAGGCAGGACACTAAAAACAGAGGCAATAGGAATAGCCAAGTATAATGCTGAGAATCAGTGGAAGCCACCTGGGACCAAAAATCCGAGGCAAGTGAAAGAATGAAGGTTAGGAGCTTGAGAACCACTGAAGCTCCATAGATACCAGGCTGAGAGATACAGAAGTACTTGGCCAAAAGGCTGAATGACTGAGCATTAAGGGATTGCTAAGAAAGCAGAAGGAAGGTACTATAAGGCTGCAAAATACAGAGCAGACTAGAAGCCAAAGATAAAATTTGGGCCTGGCTTAAAAAAATATTCAGTGGTTCTGATAAAATCTGTGCCAGTTTGCTTGAACAATGTCGGTGCCCATGTTGCTTTGGTATGGTTAGTGTGTAGGAGCCCTTTGTGTACAGAAATCCTCTGTGTATAAAAGTCATAACTGTTGTAAATGTAAAGCTCCTTGCATGTTGGCATTGTAGGTGTTCCTGAGGCGCCACAATGGAAAGGAGAATTTCTACAGGAATTGGAGGACTTACGCTGCTGGGTTTGGGGATCCCAAGGATGAATTCTGGCTAGGTAAGCGATTGCCAAGAGCTTTCTGAAACAAAAGAGAATGAGTCACTTATAAGCATGACAGCCATGCTGCCAAATATATTATTGGCTTCCCTCTAAAGAGGATCATGGCAGGAAAATGTAAAATAGGGTAATACGACATGAGTGCAGAAGATCGAGAGAGAGAGACCGCACAGTGGTTCTTTATACATTTGTCCATTCGTTACCACAGGTCTGGAGAACCTCCACAAAATCACTTCTCAGGGCCAGTATGAGCTGCGTGTGGATCTGCAAGACAAGGGCGAGACAGCTTACGCGATCTACGACAGGTTTAGCGTGGGAGACTCCAAGACCCGTTATCGGCTAAAAGTGGACGGATACAGTGGCACAGCAGGTGGGTTAAACTGCTATTTTTTCAGGCTGGAAAAAGGGGAGGATGGAGGGGGGAGAGGACGGGAGGGGGAGGGAAGGAAGGGGCTACATTTCCCCACATTAGACTTGAGCTACAATTTACTTCCACTTGGTTCAAAGCAACAGCTTCTGTACACAGGCAATGGGGATTGTTGTCATGGTGGGTAATTATTTTTTTTTGGTGTGTGGGGGGGTAGATTTGAAAACATGAAAGGCTTGTGATTCCATTCCTGTGTGATTCCACTCTCAGTGCTCTGCTCTCTGACACCCACGCTTCGGAACACAGTGACGGAACGGGAAGGAGCATATTAAACAGACTTGTTTTAGCAATCCCTGCCTGCCCTTACTAGGGTTTCTGATAGCTTGCCACGTGCCACTGGTGCCTGTTATAACATGCGTCCTCCTCAGCTTCTGTATTGATAAAGGAAGGACCAAGGGCTAAAAATCCGGTGTCCCCAGAACAGAAGGGCTGGGAACCTTTTGTGGGCCGAGGGCTGCTGACCCACTGAAAAATCAGTCAGCGGTCAGGGCCTGCGGGGAAGCAGCCGGGGAGCTGGAGTGCCAGCATGGGTTCCCAATGCTGAGGGAGGCCCTAAGCCTCGGGAGCCAGATCCAGGCATCCCAGGGGCCACATCTAGCTCCAGGCCTTAGATCCCCACCCGCCGTCACCTTAAACAAAGAGAAATACTACAGAAAGGTCTGGCAACTGAGCTCCTTGCTCTCTGCATCGCTGAATAGTGGGGCAGGGGTGTGGCCAATGGCTTAGAACAGTGTTTCCCAATTTTATTTGGCCACAGAACCGTTTTCAGCTTGAAAGAATTTAAAGGAGCCCCTAGGATTCCTTGGCCTGCGGCAGTTTGTTGAGGGGAGAAAAAAAAAAGTCCGAGTCGTGCTGCAAGTTGTCTCTGTCTCTTTAAGAGGGGGCAGGAGAGTGCCGGGTTCTCGTGGGACCCTTACTTTCGCTTTGTGGAACTCCAGGGTTCCACGGAACACCAATTTAGAAACACTGGCTTAGAAATTATACAAACCCAGTAGCTAAACTCACCCACTATCCGGCAAACATAGTGAGACAGAGACTGCTGCTTCAGCTCATGGGTCACAGTAGCAGCATCACTGCTGTGCCGCCAGCTGAAGAGGAGACTCAATTCCTTTATGCTGGTACATGGCATTTCACGTGAAATTTAGGACTGCGTTTTCAAAGGGGTCTTTGCAAAACTTGTGATGTGCACCACCAGGTTTTTGCAGCAGGAACAATCACGGTATTTCATGCCCAAAATCTCAGAGTTGCCCCTCCCCTTTGAATCATTTGCACATGCAGAATACCTGCTGAGTCAAAACTGACACAACTCTCTTTATTTCTCCCATATAGGTGACTCCATGACCTATCACAATGGCCGATCCTTCTCCACCTTTGACAAGGACAATGATTCTGCCATCACAAACTGTGCTTTGTCCTACAAAGGAGCTTTCTGGTACAAGAATTGTCACCGAGTCAATCTGATGGGCAGATATGGAGACAACAACCACAGTCAGGTGAGTTTGCCATTTGAAAGCAATGTGGATCCACAAGACACAGGAATGTAGAGCTGGCCATACCAAATCAAGTCACTGGGTCATTCGTTCTGTTAGTCAATTTCTTGTTGTGGGCAATTGATAGCGCTTCAGAGAGACAGGAGACATCCCATCATTAAAACCAAGTGAATTATGGGGGGCGGAGGGAGACATTAAATCACGTTCACCAAATGAGAACTGCAGTTACATCCAGATATGTTCTCATTCTGTTTTGTTCATTGTTCCTAGAAAGTTCATGTGAACACTTGGGACTGAGGCTTCTATCACTTCAAATTCAGGTTCTCATGTTTTTAAAAAAGAGCATTCTCTTGGAGATGAAGTAGACAGCTTTGGAGAGACAGTTTTGGAGAGAGTTCCGTGTTACCCTAGCCCAACCCGCATTTAGTCAGACCTCCTCCAGCAGGGATTAGTTAGAGGAATGACATCATAATACTGACTTTGGTGGGTCTCAAAGTCCTACTACAGCCTCATTAATCCTACACCAGGAGTTGTTCTCGGGGGCAAAAGTTGTGCAGAACCCACTGCTGTTCTATTCATAGATGGTTCCTTCTGGAGTTGGTATAGGGGACCTGATAAATTCTTCATCAGTCTTTACGTTGAGGTTGGAACTCTCTAAGAAATACACCCCAATTCAACTACAGATTGTTGGCATTGATGCGGGAATCACTGCATGAAATTCTACAGTCTAGGTTGTGTGGGTGGGATGACCATAATGATCTTTTCTAGCTTTGGAGTCTATAATGCAAAATAATAACTACTGCAACCTCTCTTTTATGAGACTAGGATAATGCATTTACAGTCAGCATTGCCTAGTTGACAGAGATCTGGACAGAGATCTGACTTCAGCTCTTGGCTCTGTTGTTGGCCTGATGAGGTGACCCTGAACAAGTCAGATCACCTCTCTTGTACCTCTGTGTCGCCAGCTGTAGAGTGTTTTGTGCTCTCTGGCCGAAAAGCACTATGTGGGTGAATCTACACTGCGCCATTATTTCGAGATAACTAGCGTTATTTCTAAATAACAATGTGAGTGCCTACACGGCCATTAGAATCATAGAATCATAGAGCTGGAAGAGACTTCAGGAGGTCATTAAGTCCCGCCCCCTTCCCAAGTCACGACCAATCCCAATTAAATCAACCCAGCTAGCGCTTTGTTAAGCCAAGACTTAAACACCTCTAGGGCTAGCTTATTCCAAAATCTGTAAACCTCATTCTATGAGGAATAACACCTATTCGGAAATATCTATTCCGAAATAAGGTGTGTAGACTCTCCACTGCTGCTATTTCGAAATAGCCCCTCACCAGGGCCATTCCTCCCCAGTGCCTCTTGGGGCTCTAAATCGAGATAGCATGTCTACATTAGGGAAGCCTGCCTCAGACTAATTTTGAGACTTCCCTGCAGTATAGTCGTGCTATTTCGAAATAAGCTATTTTGAAATAACTATTCCGGAATAGCTTATTTTGAAATAAGTGTGCAGTGTAGACCTACCCTGTAAGACGAAGATATGCATATTATACCAATGTGGAATAATGTTGCCTGTATGTTTTTGCAGGGTATTAACTGGTTCCACTGGAAGGGCCATGAATACTCCATCCAGTTTGCAGAAATGAAGTTGAGACCCTCCAGTTTCCGGAATCTAGAAGGGCGACGAAAGAGAGCATAAACCCCAGAGATGGAGGAAAGTTTGGGAAGCAGGGCGGGGGACAGTGGGAGGGGTTTTTGGAATAACTGGGGGGGAAGGGGATAAGGCAGCTGGTAATCTTACCAAAGCATCAGTGATGCTTGCCCTAACTGGGACTCCTTCTACAGTCCAAGTGACCAGCCTTATGCAACCTCAGCATCTTCTGCCGCCCAGCTTTGGCTGCCCTTCACACCAAAGACAACAATCTCAAGGGTTCTGCATTGTTTTTTACAAGTTGGGAGAGGTTCCGTGGCAAGATTCTTTCATGGGCACTTGGGCAGTCCCAGTGAGGGGAGGGGCCATAGGTTGGTAGGTTGGTCGTTTGAGAACCAGCCACATTTTACACACAAATTTGCATGATTATCATTATTATTATTATTATTAGTTGAAATTCTGTTGGTCATTGGAAGGCTTTATATATATATATCATGCAACGCAAAGAAAGATGGGGAAAGGAAGCAGTGCAGTTTAAAACACAAGCAAAATCTTCATTTTATTAATTTAATGACAACACAATAATAATAATAATGATATTAAACTATGGTTTTGTAAGGGATCCATGCTTTCCACAACACAGCAGGACAGTGTCTGATTGTATTTTTTGTTAAATAAAAGCACAATTACTTTTAAATAATCTCTACATTTTCTTCAGGCATCAAGTTTGTGCACGTCCAGCGTCTATGTCCTTAAGTAGGGGAGTAAAGAAAGCTGAGAAAGATCAGGGTGCTAAATTTATTCAGAAAGCACACTCCCTTTTGTCAGTGTTTGGGTGTAAGTATTCTGGTGGGCTTATTCCAGCGGAATGCTTGTGACGACTTTTAGAGGGTATTCCTTTTTTCCATTCCCACAAGCACATCCGCCATGCCATTTCTAAGTGTAACTGACTGACTCTTGCTTTCAGCTAGGTGGGAATCACTAACAAAAGAGGCAAAATGCAAAGTTGGGATTAGCTACCAAATGGTGATTCTGCACCTGTGTGTAAATAAAGGGCTCTTTAAAAAAAATAAATGAAGCCTCTGTGTAGTTCTCTGTACCATATTCTTTGATAAAAGACAATAAAAATCTTTTGTTGTAAGCCCTGGAGTCCGTTCCTTACCTTGCTCTCCCCAGTTGTAGGCCTCTGCCATCTCTGGACTCAGGCATGGAAGGAACATGCTTGCTTTGTGAGCACAGATGTGAGTGGATCTGTTCTAGCAGGGAGAGCCCTCATGGTGCTAGCCAAGATTGTTGTGCCTTGTTGCAACATCTTCCCGCAAAACTCAGTCCAAGTGTGAAAATCTACCATCAGAGTGTTATTTTATTCCCGTCTCCCTGAATACCTGATATTTCTATATCATTCAGGAATTAAAATATTGGTTAGGTTAAAAATACATGTGGGACTATCTAATGACATAAAATATCTCCCTCTTCCCCCACATTTTGCCTACACATGGGGGCTGCGTCTAGATTGGCAAGTTTTTCCGCAAAAGCGGCCGCTTTTGCGGAAAAACTTGCCAGCTGTCTACACTGGCCGCTTTGAATTTGTGCAAGAACACTAACGATCTAATGTAAGATTGTCAGTGTTCTTCCGCAAATACTATGATGCTCTTGCGCAAATGTATTTGCACAAGAGGGCCAGTGTAAACAGCTCAGGACTGTTTTGCGCAAAAAAGCCCCAATGGCGAAAAGTGCTTTTGTGGAAAAGCGTCCGTGCCAATCTAGACGCTCTTTTCCGCAAATGCTTTTAACAGAAAACTTTTCCGTTAAAAGCATTTGCGGAAAATCATGCCTGTCTAGACGTAGCCAGGGACAGCACCTATCATAAAATCATAGAATCCTATGGCTGGAAGAGACCTCCAGAGGTCATTGAGTCCAACCCCCAGCCCAAAGCAGGACCAATCCCAACTAAATCATCCCAGCCAGGGCTTCGTCAAACTGGGACTTAAAAACCTCTAGGGATGGAGATTCTACCACCTCCCTAGGGAACCCATCCCAGTGCTTCACCACCCGCCTAGGAAATAGTTTTTCTTAATATCCAACCTAGCTCTCCCCCACTGCAATTTAAGACCATTGCTGTTTGTTCCGCATCCGTCACTACTGAGAACAGCCTCTCTCCATTCTCTTTTAAACCTCCCCTCAGGAAGTTGAAGGCTTCTGTCAAATTCCCCCTCACTCTTCTCTTCTGCAGACTAAATAAGCCAAATCCCTCAGCCTCTCCTCATAGGTCATGTGCTCCAGCACCCTAATCGTTTGGTCACCCTCCGTTGGATCCTCTCTAATAAATCCACAACCTTTCTATAGTGGGAATCCCAGAACTGGATGCAATACTCCAGATGTGGCTTCACCACAATAACTTCTCTAGATCTGCTTGAAATGCTCCTCCTAATACACCCTAATATGCTGTTCATAGCTACAAGAACACACTGTTGACTCATATCTATCTTATTCACTGTAATCCCCAGATCTTTTTCTGCAGAACTGCTGCTTAGCCAGTCGGTCCCCAGCCTGTAATGGTGCTTGGGATTCTTCCATCCCAAGTGCAGGACTCTGCACTTGTTCTTGTTGAACCTCATCAGATTTCTTTTGGCCCAATCCTCCAGTTTGTCAAAGTCACTCAGGCCCCTATCGCTATCCTCCAACGTATGTGCCTCTCCCCCTAGCTTAGTGTCATCCTCAAACTTGCTGAGGGTACAATCCATTCCCTCATCCAGGTCATTAATAAAGTTGTTGATTTGTTCTGACCTGAGATTTTGGCTCCTCTTGCCAACACTGTTATCACGGCCTGTTCTTGCCTGTTAAAGCCCTGTTCAAAAGATTCTCCCCCTCACAGTGTTTCCATAGTATATTCTTTTGAAACTGAACCAACCCCCTCTCCATCCCAACGTTCCCCTACTGTTATGGATCCTTCCCTGGCCCAGAGCCTGCAGCTAGGTGTTTGAACACAGAAGGGCAAAGCCTGCCAATTCAGCTGGCAAGCTGCATGTTAAGATGAGATGGAGATTCTGCTAGAGCAGTGGAAGAAGCAAGGCCAATGCCTTGACAGCAAGCGGTGATGCTCCCTGAAGTGCTAGCATTGGAGGCCCTCTCTTCTGCCTCCTCAGTCCTCGTCTTTGACAGACTAGAGATTTAACAGGAACGTCTACAGTTCAACAGAAAACTTCTTGTGGGATCAAGAGGTCCCTGGTTCACATCCCAGTGATCCCTTAGACATTGTTTTCTGCTTGGGGCATGGGGTTGGACTCAATGACCTCCTGAGGTCTCTTCCAACCCTAGGATTCCATGATGCAGCACGATAACTCATAACATTAATGAAAAATCACATCTGGATATTTAAGTTCAAATTCATTTATTCCAACCTGAGATTTTGGAATAATCAAGGCAGAGACAACATCCTAGACTTTATATAAGTTCCATGTGTGGTTGGACAGCTCACTTTTGTGGAGGTTTTCAAAAGCACCTAACAGATTGTCTTTTGATGGGATTTCTGCTCCTAAATCCCTTGGGCTATGTCTACATTATGGGGTTTTTCCGGGATACCAGACGTATCCCAGAAAAACTCTGCTGCATCCAGGGAACGCATCTGCTCTTCCGCTTTTCTTTGCAGAAGAGCAGACATGTTCTTTTGGAAGCCCTGTCTTCCTCCTCCCACAAGGAAGAAGGGCTCTTCCAAAAGAGGATCCCTGTAATGTAGACATAGCCTTGGACAGCTTAAAAAATATCCCAGGGTATGTCTACACTACCCTCCTAGTTCGAACTAGGAGGGTAGTGTAGACATACCCTCATATACCTCCCTGGCCCTCTCTCTGTCAAACAAATACTGTCACGCCTCTCCAGTGCCATGAGAGGAGATCCCTTCACAGAGTACCATCATCCTCACAATATCGCCTTGCCTCCGCTCTCCTCCTTTCTGCCCACATCGGGGAGCCGCCATTTTTAAACCCCCGCTGGTTCGAACCCCATGCAGCGCGGCTACACGGGGCTCGAACTAGGTAGTTCGAACTGGAACGAGGTGTACCGGTAGTTCGGATTAGGAATCCTAGTTCGAACTACCTAGTTCGAGCCCCGTGTAGCCGCGCTGCATGGGGTTCGAACCAGCGGGGGTTTAAAAATGGCGGCTCCCCGCTTATGCAAATGAAGCCCAGGAAATTCAATTCCCGGGCTTCATTTGCAAGTGCGGTATGCCTACATTACCCCGCTAGTTCGAACTAGCGGGGTAGTGTAGACATACCCCCACTTTGGCAGAGCTGTGCTGCCATCCATCTAACAGCTTCCCTAAAGATGAAATGGAAGCCTATTCTAGTGGTTAAGGTGCTAACACCTTCTGGGTTTGGTGTACTGTCCCATCTACTGGCTCTTACAGAGAGAAAGAATAAGGAGTCTGCTCTAAAGCCTTAACTAATAGCCAGCAGGCTTTTAGCTCATGTGATAGCTGGGATTACTATGGACAGAATGGCTTTTTCCTCTTTCCTCTCCTTCTGAAAGAACTCCCTCTTCCCCTTCCACACACACCTTTTTCTGAAAGAGCTCTTTCACAAAAAGGTTTCTTCCTCATAGAAAAAGGATTACCAATGCCGGAAAAAACCCTCTGTTCTTTCAATTTTCTTTCGAAAGAACATGATTGCAGTGTGGATGTAATTGAAGTTTTTTTCGGAAAAACGGCCGTTTTTAAAAAAACTCTAGTGTAGACATACCCTCAGTTGGTTTCTTGCATTTGTGCTTTGGCTGCTTGAGAGTTGTAAGACCCCAGAGACATTCCTCTCCAGCTTCCTGAGCAGGATTTTGGAGCAACTGAAGAGACCGACTACCAGTGAATCTATCCATGGTTTTATGCTGCCAGCACATGCTGCAAATGAATTAACTTGAGGAGTGCAGCCACAGCCACGGCTATGTGGCGAGCTCAGATGTGAGCAATAAAACTCGCAAAAATCTGCCTTCCTATCAGGTTTTATTGTCTAGGTATCAGAAACAGCCTACAGGTTGAACCTCTCTAGTCCAGCATCCTGGGGACCTGCCTGGCACCAAACCAGAGAATTTGCCTTTATTTACCAATGTTCCCACTGCTTACTGGGATGTTTGAAGACATTTAGGGGTAAATTAGGGCTAAATAACAGCACAGAACCCTGAGATAACACCCATGATAAGCAAACATCCAGCTAACTAAAATTAGGCCGGGCCACAGATGTTGCCGCACCAGAGAGTGCCAGACTAGAGAGGTTCTACCTGTTCAACAGGACACATTGCAATAGCTGAGACAATACAACACACTTTTACGAGTCTCCCATGTGACCATATCATACAACGTGCAAGTTACTCACCACATAACACGGAAGGTCAGAGAATTACATGCAAGGAGGCTATTAAATGAAAGGTTGGTAACTGGAAACCCCTTTGCGGTGAAATGGCTAAGCGTGTTGCCTAATAATAGCCAACGATTTTTAACAGATCTTGTTAGTCACATCTTAGCTCATCCTAACATCTGGTGGTGGGGACTCAAACTCTCTCTCCCACTCTAATTTATACAGACTTCACCTATTAGTTATTTCCATCTTTTAACCAGCAGATGGCAGACTAGTTCTATCTTGCACTGTGTCTAGGCTTGTTCTAGTCCCGATTAATGTACCAGGCCTTGCCTTTGACTGCATTTGTAAATCCTTTGCTCCACGTCCCTAGGAAATTGAATTCAGGGCTGCTGTTCACATCATCCCTACCATGCCCAGCATTTGCTGCCCGATTGTTCGTTCCAAGGAGGAACTCCGGGTCCAAATACAAAGCTGATTAGCCTCTCTTGCACGTCAGCAGCATGGGAAACACCAATGAGGAAGCTGAAGCAATGCCTGAGGCCACAGACGAGTGATCAGTGCTAAAAGGATTACAAGTGGCTTACATTTGAAGTGGCCAAGTCCTAGGGTTGCCAGATGGTTTCAGAAAAAATGCCAAACAAAAAACAAACAAACAAACAAAAGGATCCCGAGAGTTATTAAGCAAAAAACCCCAAACAAACAAAAAAAAATACCCCACCCCACCCCACAACCACCATGGCCCCTTTAAAAACCGCATGGTGAGGCTTTTGGGCCCTAACAGGCTGCTGGCAGCCCC